TATAGGCTACAATTGGTAATAAAAACGTCACACAAAAAAACATGGTTAGCCTCCTATACTTTTACTATAGTAATGCCATTGCTAATTTTCGTAAGGGATTGTGTATAATAATATGAAATAAATGTTTTAATAGATTATGACATCACAAAATATCAGGGAGTGAGATTTATTTGATTGGCGATGTGAAGGAGGGTTACTGTAAGCCCCATCAGAACTGGGTTGCGGTGCAGGGGGACGGGACTAACGACAGATCATTGCAGGGTATCAGTCATATACATCGTCAGATCAGCTTTTTTAACTTATTAGAGCTACAGAATGCCACACAGCAACTTTTCGGCATTGCACCAAGCAAAAATCAATCGAAATCATCACAAAAAGTAAAGATCAAGCGCCTAACAAGGTCTCCACGCGTTAATTCGAATGGTTTGTTTTCCCCCTCGGCATAAACGGTTATGACGTTTTTGTGGGCGTTCCCAGCAATGCCGAACAAGTCTATGAATAATAGATATCTTTTAATTGTTCAAATTATAATTTTTAATGTCAGGATTGCATCCTTATATCAAAAATGACAATCACTCGCAAAAATCTAATTAGGCCTATTGATATAAAAACTGAATTCTGAACTGTAAAAACAATAATTTTCCATATCTGTAATTGCATATTATATGCATACTAAGCGCTCTACTGTTTGGGCTACAGGAAGGCTGAAATACCAGTCCAAATCTATGGCAATAATCATGCCACAACCTAAAAGCTATTTATTACAAGAAAGGCTATGTTATTATAACCATATTCTAGCTAGGGTTTTATGTGATCGCATCAGTTTATGGCTCTATGCAATTATATTATTATTACATAATATAAAGTAATTAATAATACAAAATTCAAAAAATAATGATTGTGCCTTGGTTTTTTTTATTTTATTTTTTATTTTTTTCGTCACTGGTGTTAACAAATTAACACATTTTATGAAAAATGTATTAATGATAGTCTATTTATTCTCTTCACTGCTGCTAAGACTATCCCAGCATCTCGATTTGGGTCTAACACAATCTTAAATAATGAAATCTGATCCCTTTTTTTTATTATTACTTGCGTTACGGCCCTTTCTTAATTTAATTATTTCTTACTTTCGTGGGAGAAAAATGAACTGAGTTAAAAGCTCCAACATTCTGTTAGTTATCTACATTTCAGATTTCTAGTGTTTAGACAGTGAAGGCATGAAATGAACCACGGCTGAGTGTGGCCCTCTGAGCAGAACTCATCTATAGCCTATAATACAGTATATAATATCTCTGTTATGGATCAGTGGTGGACAGCATCATCTGCAAGATAAACGAGCTCCTAAACTAAATTAATGTGTGAGAAAATAGTATGAAAATTACAACAATTTCCCAGTTGCTTCATTTATTTCTGTATTTATTTATTTATTTTATTAATTTTTTTTTTTTTTGTTTGGTTTTTTTTGCAGAATACATGTTATACACACATGACATGAAATCATGTGTAATGCCAGAGTCTGATGGTTTTGATGGTTTTGTGTCTTTGTGACATGACTGATGTTGAGCATCCGTGTTTTCTGGGGTGTGTTTCCCGAAAGCATCATTAGCTAATGCTGGTAAGCTCCATTGAGCTCTGTTGGTCAGGAAGGAACTCAGTCCATGTCTGACAGCTGTGTTTGTAATGTAGTGTGGAGTTTGCGCTTATCAGGGACTCAATCACACACAGCCAGTAGAGACTGTAGATGCGATGAATCTCATTAAACCTGTCTGTGAGATTAGAATGAAATGTTGTTTACTTAACATTTTTGGTTATGCAAAAAAATGCAAACTTGGTCAGTTTATTTTTACTGACAGTTTTCTTGACGTTCGCGGTGACTTCAGCGTCTGTCGTCTCACTAAATTAGGACATAAATACATGAACAACATCTCTAGAACTGCTCTGAGAGTCACTTCATGAGCAGTTTACCGTTTAGAAACGATCGTCTTATCATGTACACACAGTAATGTAAAGGTATTCACCGCAACCCGTTAAAATAAAAGTCCGGTTTAACTTGAAGACATTGTGCCAGAAATATATTACTATTGTGAAGTAGAATGTACAAAATGAAACAAACATAATATTTTAGGAATAATAACACACAACCATTTCTTCCGTGTTTTAAATTTAATAGTATCTCCCGTTTGTTTGTTTCATTTTCTATAATTAAAAGATAAATGAAATGAATGTTTTATGCCTTCATGTGATAACCAGAAAATTAAAATACACGACACAGAGGGAAAAAAATTCATAAAGCTATTTTAAGAATACATTTGAATAAATCAAGTTGTTTTTATGCATTCAAATAATTAGACATGCTGAAACACATAATTTGATAACAATAAAACATATGGTGAGGAAAAAAATAAAACGTTTCATAGGGTCCTAAACATGTCATTTTTGTTAAACTTTTAATAAATTGGTGTGAAATTGTATAGGTTTAATTAATTAGACATGCTTTATGATTAATACAATTTAATTCAGTGGTTCTGAACTCCAGTCCGAAATGTGTGGATATTGTGAAATGTATTTGGAACAGTAATATTTTTAATTATTATTATTTGTGTGAGTGTCTGTGTATGTCTGTGTATGTCTGTGTATGTCTGTGTATGTCTGTGTATGTCTGTGTATGTCTGTGTATGTCTGTGTATGTCTGTGTATGTCTGTGTATGTCTGTGTATGTCTGTGTATGTCTGTGTATGTCTGTGTATGTCTGTGTATGTCTGTGTATGTCTGTGTATGTCTGTGTATGTCTGTGTATGTCTGTGTATGTCTGTGTATGTCTGTGTGTGTGTGTCTGTGTGTGTGTCGGTGTGTGTG